TCACTTATATAAATAATTAAGGAACAAATTCTAATGCATTTGTGACTATATATGGTATTCTACGTTTTTTGAATAGTCACTATTAATAAACATAACAAAATAAATGCTATTGGAAATCAATTTTATTTTTCTTTTTAATTACCATAACAAATCAATTTTGAATCTCTCTACCGATCCTTAAAATACGATATTGAGAGAAATTGTAGATATTACCTAATATTTAAGATTTTATGTAGATCTTTCTTTATTTGTTTAAACTAGAAATTGAATGATTTAGTTACAATAAGATTTGTTCCAACTAATAAAGAGTCAAAATTTGTTCTGTTATATTCTTAGAACAAGTTTTGTGTATCAAGAGCGAGCAAACACAAATGTTTAGAGTTTTTAATTTAATATCTTGACAATAAGAAGAGTTAAAGTATAACAATTTTTTTTTTTATAAACTGGTATTTTAATACATGGATTGAACACAACAAATCATGGACTCTATCACTAAGAGACATGAGTGGTATACTCCCTCTGATTCATATTACTTGATTTTTAAGATTGAAAATAGATTAAGAAATTATTTAATTTTCTGTTTATTCAAAAATAAAACATGTTTTATCATCAACTCCAAAATAATTCAACTAATTAAAAAAAAAATTGCATAATTTAAACAGTCAAAAGTAACAAACACACAATTAGTTTTACATATAAAATTGAAAACATCATCTAATATGAAAGAAAAAAATTCTTTAAAACATCTATTAAGATACGCAAAATAATACTACACAAGGGTCAAAGAAAGTATCGAGTCATTGAAGAATATTTTAGACAAGAACATACATTTTCAAATTCTTTGACTAAAAGAAAAAGAATATTGGACGGGTTAATCCATACATATCATTTAGAGAAGTACATACACTTTCAAAGTCTTTGACGGGTTAACCCATACATATCTTAACTATGTTATAAGGAAAATCAAATTGCATATTTTGTTTTGCTTACAAATTTTTTTTTGTACTGAGAAATTATTAGCGGGTAGCCGCAAACAAATACCACCATTTTTCAAATGTTCCACAAATACCACAAAACTAAAGTTAAGTTTCAACATTCAGAAT